GACGAGAGTTTATAGTGGTTCGGTCAATCATGACCTATATCCACTCCTCTGATTCCTCTTCCGTCGAGGTCACCGGCATCCACTAACGATCTTTCTTTACTAGGCAAAGATCAATCTCTTTCTTACACCCCTCTTCTCCTTTTACCGGGTTTAGGAGACAACCCTTACAAGCACTCACTCTCCTCTCTTAAACAGAATTCTAACACTTAAGCTAGAGGAGGGAAATTCTAGAGATTGCAGCAGCGTTTTCTCTCTTTTAATCTCTTTGTGCTTGTGTGTTTTACCCAGGGATGGGAGGGGTATTTATAGGCTCCAAACCAGTTTGAATTCCGAGCTAAAAACTGTCATCTTCCGGAATTTCGGGGTCTAGCGGTTGCACCGCCTGGCAGAGCTCGGAGACTGAGCCTTTGGGCGGTGCCACCTCCTGTCAGGGGCGGTTGCACCACTTGGCAGAGCTCGGAGACTGAGCCTCTAGGCAGTGCCACCGCCTGACAGGGGCGGTTGCACCGCTTAGTAGCTCTCGGAGACCGAGCTCAAGCGGTTCCACCGCTTATCAGGGGCGGTTGCATCGCCCAGTCTCACTCAGAGACTGAGCCCTGGGCGGTGCCACTACCAACCCAGGCGATGCCACCGCTGGCCAAGAAATCTGATCCGAATGGGTTGATCCATTCGGCCCAATTTGGGTATGTCAAGGGCCCAATTGCCCCAAGATTAAGTTAATGGGATCACCTCCCATTTCTAACTTAATCATTATGCTAACTACGATTTTTCTTAAGACATTTTCTGCAACTTGCTTCGGTGCATCATCCGCTTCTTCCGGTGAGCTTCCGGTGAACTTTCGTCGATCATCCGATGAACCCTCGGTGATGCTCCTGCGGACTTCTAACAAACTCCTGGACTTGCGATGATCCACTTGGCGAGTTCCGACGAGCTTCTTTTAGCAAACTCCTAGCCTTCTTGGATTTGTTCCCTTAGAACCTCCGACGACCGTCCGGACTTCCGTCGAACTCTCAAACTCCCAACGTGATCATAGTCTTGACTCCAGCGTAACTCCTGTTGCATGTCTTACTTCCATCGTAGTTAATCCTGCACATGTAAAACAAAACTTCGATCGAGACTATTAATCTTAAGCAATTAACCAAGTTGTCCGGCATGTCATTGGTCCCTCGACGCTTCGTCCGATTCTTCGGCGCATCGTCCTCTCCTGCGGCCTATTGCCCAATCGACCAGTTGACTCCGCAACTCCGATATCCTTGGCACAATACCCGCTCTTCTTGGCCCAATGCCCGAGTCCACGACCCGAATCCTTCTATCGATACGTCGACCGATCTACTGGCCCGACGTCCAATCTTCTGACATGTTCCTCCGGCACAACATGATTTTTCCTGCTTTAATTGTCTCATCCTGATCGAAGCATCTTGTGTCACTCAAAATACAGATTAAATCATAAACATATATCAAGTGGTTTCATTATTAAAATATGAGATTCAATAGCTGCATGTCTTACTTCCATCATAGTTAATCCTGCACATGTAAAACAAACTTCGATCTAGACAATTAATACTAAGCATTAATCAAGTTGTCCGGCATGTCATTGGTCCCTCAACGCTTCGTCCGATTCTTCGGCGCATCGTCCTCTCCTGCGGCCTATTGCCCAATCGGCCAATTGACTCCGCAACTCCGATATCTTTGGCGCAATACCCGCTTTTCTTGGCCCAATGCCCGAGTCCACGGCCCGAAGCCTTCTGTCGATACGTCGACCAATCCACCGGCCTGACGTCCAATCTTCTGACATGTTCCTTCGGCCCAACATGATTTTTCTGCTTTAATTGTCTCATCCTGATTAAAGTATCCTGCGTCACTCAAAATGTAGATTAAATCATAAACATATATCAAGTAGTTTCATCATCAAAATATGAGATTCAACACTAATGAATCGAGATAATCAATGGAAATACAAAATATTCTGCAAGTAAATCTATCTGCCTTCAATTAGTTCAATTCTTGATCAAGATGATGTAAATTATTTTTCCTCTTCTCCTATAATTGACACAGCTAGCGGTGATATATAATCTAACTAATTATCAATAACAAGGTGTGAATTCTTGGTTGATTGTCTCACCAACCAACCCAATGCTGTCATAAGCCCCTATCAGGCATCACAAATCACTTACTTGATAGGACAATCTTAATTTAGCTTAAACCGCCTCTACCTCAATCTAAAGTATACTTCACTTATGAGATGAGTCCTAGTTTGCATGAACAATTATAAGATAAGGATAAATGCCTTAATGATATAAGATGTAACATTTGAGAGAGAAAACCCAACCAAGTGGGGCTCCAAAACCAATAGCTTTTACTCATCATGTTAAGGAGAAAATTATTCTCTCCAAAACCAATAGCTTCTAAATCTAAATCCAATTTTTTCACAAAACCAGTACCACTTTCAACTCTCTCATAAGTCAAATTATTTTTACTATTTTATGAAAAAATGCTTAAGAATATTACTCTCACCTTCCTCCTGTGTCGATTACATCCTTTGGGCAGATGACAAATAATTTTGAGCTTCACTTTTTTAACTGCCAACACTTGTAGAAGTCTACAATAATATTGTTGATCATTCGATAAGGTAAGATAGTGGACTACATTATGAGATTACGAGACTTAGCAAGAGGTCAATTCACACTTGCCTATGATAATTTGCACATTCATCAATGGTTTAAGGTCATCGTGATTTTTCTAGTTGATGGCTAAGAAATCTCTAATAATATTTCTTGAACTATTCTAAAATGTGAATCGACATATGGTAATCGAAGTTTATAATAATAAAAAAAAGGGCAACATCAAGAAGTGACATAAAGATGGACAATCTATACGACACGTTCTGAAATCAAAATATTTTTACACCTTGCTCTCTTAGGTCGGCAATAATTTAACCTCTTTGCACTGATAGCTTCCTCAAGTTGGCCAAACTTCAAAATATTTTCTCCTTAAGTTGTTTATATTGTCAAAACGATCACTTCTTCGGTCTATCATATCTTTCAAGATAGTCGTTTCCTTAAAGCAATTATTCTTTAAGTAGATTATCTTATTAAGATCACCACCTCATTTGTTTTAGCTTACATCTTTAACTTGGTATCATCTTCTAATTATCCTCAAGATAATAACTATGTATCGATTGCACTATGTCTTTGAGGCTTCGTTTACTCTTCAAATATAAAATCTTAATAAGCAAGAGTGATTTCTAAGTTATATTGATAATTTCAATATGTGAGGGTACATGGTATAACATTGGACTTCTCAACTTGACCTCCCTAAGTTGGGACTCTCATTTTGACCTCCTTAAGTCTTAAAGGAGATGTTACTAGATAAGTCAAATATTTTAGATACTTTTTTATTATGAATAGACTCATCACTCATATAAGAGATATTATAGGATATATCGAATACTAAAGATCTATTTGGCTATGCTAATACATCATGCATGATATCATAAGATATCTCAAGTGGTTCAAATTTTTTTATTGTCCTGGGTGAACTCATCATGCATAAAACAGATATTTTAGAATATGTGTGATGCAACGAGTAGAAAGATATCTTATGTATTTTTATATGATATTTTTTAATATAATAATAAAGCTATATGATGACAAAAGTTTAAATCTCGAAAACAAAAAAAGGCATGAACTTATTCGGACTTTGCCCAACTTGACTTGAGTATATGAAAATTATATTTTATTTTATGATTGTGTATGAATATTGAACACAAATAGTTTAGTAAAATTGTAAAAATAAAGATTTCAAAGCAGGTCATGGGTGGCATGTGTTAAGGGTTGAAGGTAAACCCTCTTTTAAACATACTAAAGGTCAAATAAATGCTAGAGACATGCACAAATAAATCCTTTGTATAGCTGTGTTAATAATATTAACATAAATGATGTTAATATGTGATGATAAGAAAGCTTCACACTTGAGTAAGAAGATTAAGAGTTCAAATTTTAAAGGGTTAAATGATATATATAATTAATTTTACTAAATCAAATTAACGACAAATTTGAGTCTATATTAGATTCACACTAAAACAAGGAGCTGAACCTTCTTCTTCAACCTTGTGATGAATGAAATCCGGTTATTATTGTATTCCACAATTATGATCCTATCTCATTATAAATACAAGTTTGTATGTAAGTTTTTCTATGATTTTGGAAACCAATGGAGAATGATTACCACCACCTCCGACTCCACCTCCAGAGGCCGAGAATATTCTGATCATTTAAATGCAAATTGAGCTAATCGTGAATCAATTCCACAAGTTTGGTGTTAGGTGAAGCCACAGATCCATGTCCCCAAATTCCAACAAATCTTTTTGGCAAAACGGCGCCACCTACCCTTCCCTTCTCAATATCTCTTTCCACATAATTACAAACAATAATTTGGGATTGGATTGTTCAGATATTTTAGTTATGTTAGTTTTCGATTTCTTTTTAACTTCCTATAATTTGCAACTTATATATGTTATTTCTCATGTTCTCCTCGTATAGATTTCTTTTCTTATGCTCCCACAAAAAGGAACATTATCTATCTATTCATCAAAAGCAAAAACTTAATCCAATCAAATCCAGTTTAACATAAATTCTAATATTATTTTTATCATTTGACCAACAAATTTATGTATATGAGGAGCCTCTTTGGATCTGATAGTGGGATTGGATTACTACATTAGATTTATTTATGATACGATTCTGATTTAAGAAGTTTAATATATATTTTTTGCCTACTTGTATAATTATTACTTTATGACTAATCATAATTATTTATTATTTTATTTTTTCGAAAAATTCCTCTTGAATAATCAATCGTGTTTACTTCAAATATCATTATTTTCCTAAAATGGAAATAATTTAATAATAATAATAATAATAATAATAATTAAAAACAAAAAATTTATATTCCGCACTATCACTTCCGCGCTCGTCTATAAAAGCTATTCCATCCCCCGGTCTTCCCCCCACCCTCGCGCCTCTTTGTGTTGGTAAGAGTTGGATCGCGACCATGGCTCTGCTTACGGATCTCATCAACCTCGACCTTTCAGAGACGACCGACAAGATCATAGCTGAATACATATGGTGCGTTCTTTCTCTTCTTCTGCTTTCCTGGGTTTTTCTGCTACTTTTTTGGGTTTTGTTGGGAGTTCCGGTGGAAAGATTGCTCCTTTTCGGCTTGCTTTTGGTTATCGACGCCACCTTTCGGGATTCTTTGCGGTTTTCAACATTGGTCCATGTTTGGCCCTGGTTGAGATCTGTTGGGAAACGCTTTTGGTTATTTGGGACTTTTATGTGCGTAGCTTGGCTCTTGCTTCTTAGATCTCTGTTCGTCTTTTGTAGCAGACATGGTTGGCTGCCCTATCATTGATTTGTTCTGGCAAAGAAAAGATCCGCCTTTGTTAGAAATTTTTGTGTCTTTGGTTCTTCCATGTATCAACTTCTTCCATGTTGTAGAGATTTTCTTTGGTTATTTTCGGAATTTGTGCTGGCATTCTGGCTTTTAAGCAAGATATTCCATGGTTTACAATGATGCAAAAATCGTTTTTTTCCCACTTGTATGGATTTTTTGTGCTACTCACTTTAGTGAATATTTGATGGGTCATAATGACTACTTCAACTCTGTTTCGAATTATGTTATCTTTTTCTTGTTCGGTTGTTTGATCGATTGGTGTTGATCTCTTTGCTCTTGAGATTGATTGGGTCCACTGAGAGGTGCTTTTTTACTCTAGCAAATCATTCTGTCACTGAACTCTTTTATTATGTGATACTTAACATGCCTACTACATGCTTCAGGATTGGAGGATCTGGTCTGGACTTAAGAAGCAAGGCTAGGGTAAGATTTGAACAAATTTGTTTTTTTTTCATTTAAGCCTGCATTTTTTATGTCTCAGATATATATAGCTAAAAATATCATCCCATCTGTTATGATTAAAGCACTTACAATTTCTTTCTTTCTCTTGGCAGACTCTCCCAGGTCCTGTCACTGATCCCTCCCAGCTTCCTAAGTGGAACTACGATGGTTCTAGCACAGGTCAAGCTCCTGGTGAGGACAGCGAAGTAATCTTATAGTAAGTATTTTATCTCCTTTGCATTTTCTTTTTTCTTATTTTAGTTAGTTTTAAATATTAGCTCTTAGTTTGTTTTCATGTTAATAACGTGTATCTGTATCATGTATCTTGTAGTCCTCAAGCAATTTTCAAGGATCCATTCAGGAGGGGAAACAACATCCTTGTAAGTATAATCTCTGTCTATCAACCAGCATATACTGCACTGGAGCATTCATCACAGCCATTGCATCCATATCATGTGTCGGATATTAATCCATAATTTAAGCACTTAGCCAGCTTTTTAGTTGAATATTTTGGATAATAAATTTTATGAATTGTTTGAAGTTGATCCTTTTGGTTTCTAAGGCTTTTTCTCACGGTATGTTTGATTATTGTGCACTTATATTTCTACAAAATCAAACATGAGTTTATGTATGATTACCAAACTATTTTTCCATTGTCTTGCCCAGAAGACTCGCTACTGTCTCTTTCTTCACTTGGAGACTCGTGTATATTCACATCTGATTGCCTATCTTAGATACCATTAACAACACAAATGACATATCACTTTGATGATTTGAAAGGCATGGATCTAATTCTACAGAATTTCTGAAAGGCATACATGGGTTCTACAAAGCCTTCAAGATTGCTTATTTCAGTACTGCTTAGTAAATTGAAACCAAATAGTATATATTTTATATTATTACTTGAAAATATTTAGTCTGTTTAAATGGTGGTAGAGCAAGCAAATTGACTAATACAGGTTATAGTTAGTTCTTGTCATTTGGTAACACTATACAGTCACCTTTTGGATAGTAGTCTGTAGACTGAAGTAATTACTTCAAGCCAGCATGACAACTTGATGCATATGATCCGCTATCAGCATTTATGTGTCTGTCTGATATTGTTAAATAATATTATTTGTGTAACTATATTACAATGTTCATGAGGAATATAATATTTTTACCAACATCCCATTAAATATGCATTTGATCCCTTCTTTGTATCTTATAATTTAGGAGAAAGTGTACAAGTTGCGGTTGAATGTGCATTGGTAAATATAATTTCACATTTGTTTGATGGTTTATAGGTTATGTGTGACTGTTATACCCCGGCTGGAGAGCCAATCCCCACTAACAAAAGATACAATGCTGCTAAGGTTTTTAGCCATCCTGATGTTGTTGCAGAAGAGCCTTGGTATGTTTCTATATATCATATTTTTGCCACATTTCAACCTTTTGTTCTTCTGAGTTAATGGATCTTTTTTGGTTCATCTTGTTACTCATTCAGGTATGGAATTGAGCAGGAGTACACCCTCTTGCAAAAAGATGTCAAATGGCCTCTTGGGTGGCCGGTTGGTGGCTTTCCTGGTCCTCAGGTAATAATCTCGAATTAGACTTATTGGTGTTGACATGGTGGGTTCCATTTTGCTTTCTGTTGCTTTATTGCTTGTTTATAATGTCTTTTGTTTGCCTAAAGTCAACTTCTGGCCCTCATGTTTATTTTATTTCTTGGTTTTCTGGTTCTGTGAGACTTAAAAATAGTATACAACTATTAACTGTTTCTTTCTCATCAATTTCTTATCTTCAAACTTTTATGTCTATTATCTAATATCTCTGAGATTGAGGACATGTAGAAACATAAATAAGACAAGACATGTTCTGTTATGTTTTCTATTAATTTGGATCATCAGATGCTCCTCTCAAATTTGAGTAGAAGGTGCAATACAACTCTTTCGTGCAATGACTCTGAATTAAGATCATGAAGTAGAGAATGATACATGTCCATTTGATTGGTCCATTGATATGATTATTTTCTGTTACTTTGAATTTGTCTTGAAACTCCAATCACATACCTCAACTTTGACACTTTCAATTATATCTAATAAATAAAAATTTCTGTTCAGGGTCCATACTATTGCTCTGCTGGTGCAGATAAATCTTTCGGCCGTGACATAGTTGATGCCCACTACAAGGCCTGTCTTTATGCTGGCATCAATGTTAGCGGCATCAATGGAGAAGTCATGCCAGGCCAGGTAATATCTTTTGTTTCTTTCATTAATTTGGAGTCCTGCTCCTTGTCTTACATGGTGCAGAACCTTGTAACAATTTCTTTGTTGAATTGCAGTGGGAGTTTCAGGTTGGACCTTCTGTTGGCATTTCTTCTGGTGATCAAATATGGGTTGCCCGCTACATTCTTGAGGTAATTTCCACATATTGGAAATTTCATCTTATAGATTTCATGTAAAATTAACCTTGCTAATACAATCAAACTTAATTGTTCAAATAGAGAATCACTGAGATTGCAGGAGTAGTTCTCTCTTTAGATCCAAAGCCAATCCAGGTCAGAACTTGTATTCTCAATATATTCCAACATGTCTAATCATTTGTCATTCTGTAATATAAGACCATGCAATGAAACTTGTGCTGCTTGATATACGAAATTATTATTTTCTTGTGTTAATCTACTAGGGAGATTGGAATGGTGCTGGTGCGCACACAAATTATAGGTAAAGGAAAACATCATTATGCCCCTAATTCTTGTCATGCAATCAAGAAAACAATCAATCTTTATATTTTCACAATAATGTTTTCAGTACCAAATCCATGAGAAATGATGGAGGATATGAAATCATCAAGAGTGCTATTGAAAAGCTTGGCAAGATGCACAAGGAGCACATTGCTGCATATGGAGAAGGCAATGAACGCCGCCTCACTGGACGACATGAGACTGCTGACATCAACACCTTCATATGGGTATGCGATGCTTGTCTGATAAAAAACATACTGATTTAGAGGAAACTATTCTTCTCACAATCACACTTTACGATCTCCAGGGAGTTGCTAATCGCGGTGCATCCATTCGAGTTGGTCGTGAGACAGAGCAAAATGGCAAAGGTCAGATTCCTTCCCTACATTTTTTTTCTTTTTGTACATTTCTTGATAGTTTTTACTGCATCAACTTGGCATGCAATTGCATAGTCAAACTTTGTTGTGATGGCTGTGCCATATGTGCAGGTTATTTCGAGGACCGGAGGCCAGCGTCAAACATGGATCCCTATGTTGTGACCTCCATGATTGCCGAGACCACCATCCTCTGGAAACCATGAACAGTGAAATAATGCAGAACTTACACTTTCTCTTTGTTCTGGGACTCTGTTTACTCATCATTTCATGTTCTTCTGGTTGTCAATTTCCATTGGGAACTCCCATTCTATATGTTCAGGGAACCTCCATGCCCTGTTTGAATCCTTCAGTGGACAGTTGGGTATTGTTCATCTGATTTAGCTTCCCCCTGCTACTTAAACTTACTGCATTGGCAATAATTCAACAAAATAGTGAACCGAGTGATGTTATGAAGCATTATCCAATCTCCTTGTGTTAATGAGGCTGCTTGTGTGCATGACTTCACCATCATCATTCCTTTTCTTATAAGAACTGCCTGTGCATCAATGCCAATTATATACTTAAAGCTCCTGCTACGGTCGTTTCTGTAATGTTTGAAGTCAAAGTCTGCTTGAATTATAAATTTGAAAAATAAAAAAAAATTAAGTATGCTTTAATGAAATGATGTTATTGCAGTTATTTCAAAGATTAAGTTGTCATTTCTTGTATGTTTGCCCTTGAGTTTGTTCCGATTTGTGACTGTAAACTGAGGGCTTTCATGAGTTTTCCTTTGTATGACAGCTTTGGTGAGTAAAAGTTCTTATCAATCATATGAGAATGAAAATAGCTGCAAGGATGTTACAGTAGGTAGAGGATGACATTGATCTTTGTCCCATTCATAGCTGCAAGTATCTCCATCATCCTTTTCATAATATTAATGGATTCAGCTTACATCAAACTCCTCGGAGTACAAAATGAGTCTTTTAACTTTTTGATGCCACTCATCCTTTCAAAAACCCGAAACATGATTGCTCATTCAAAACTGAGTCAATCAATGCGTGTCTCTATTTCCTTCTCTACCTACTATATAAATCTTTTTTAACTCCTCATATATGTTCGAGAGAGTTAGCATAGATTTGACCTCATTTCCGATACACAATGGCTCATGTCCAAACTATTCAGCACATTTGTGTCGTTCTCAACAACAATCCATCTAATGTCTTTTTGGTAAGTACGGGTGCCCCTCCAGAACCCGTACTTACGGGGATATCTGGATGAACCCTCTCATTCATGTTTAATGATGAGAGACCAGCATTTCTATCCTATCGAGGAACAGTATCGGGTTGGTTAGTGATTGATAGCCATGACTGACTGATTGCATTAACATTACCATCATTTGTCTATCAACAGCACCAACGTCCTTCTTGTTCGGTATGGGAATGCATAAACGATGCGAGTGTTGCGAATGGTGAACATGATTCTTTTCTTTTATATCTCTGATCTAGAGATCACCAAAAGTAGCATAGGTGCATGCAAAGTGCTTTTTGATTATGTTCTTATATATATATATATACTTATTAAACTAATATATTTTTGAGATAAATGATGCAAAAAATATTTTGATCATGAACTTAGACCATCAAAAGGCTAATTATTTAGCAATAAAGTCAATACTATATCAAAAAATTATCACATAGAAAATTAGATGTTGAGCCAAAAATTGATCAACGTGTCGAAATTTAAACTTTTGGGCATTATATTAGAAAGATAAGATATTATGTAAGAAGATTAGACGTTGCAAGAGCATGTACCGAAAGCTTCATAAATATGTTAGATGTATGATTGATTTATTAAGATATTAATTAAAGTTATTTTAGATCAATTTAAGTTGATATTGGGTTAAAACAAAACCCATTTGTTAAGAAAACTATTGGGATTGAAATGGGATCAAATTTAGCCCATTAGAAGGCTAGACCAATGGCTGAAGTTACAATATCTCTCATTTTTTTTAATTTTATAAGAATTTATTTATAATATAGGGATCTAAATATAAATCTTAGTAATTGGATATGATTTATGAAAGATTCATATTAAAAAAAAAAAAAGAACATATGTCACTAGCTAACCTAATGCCACATATGTTTGTTCTATGAATGACAAATAAGATTTTTTCATGTATGCTTGTCACTTTGTAATCCTTATATTAGCCAAATTTAATACAATTAGAGGAGAAACTAAAAGAGAGCTTCATAAAACAACTACAATCAGCGTAGGCTTGAGAAGAGGAGAGAAGAGGAATTAAAGTACAAGAAGAAGAAGCTTGTTTTGGCTTGAGGTTTTGCATCAATTCCTCATATTTAAGAATTAAATTTTTTAAAGTAAGTATTCTAACCCTTTCCTATAGTAATATTAATCTCTGATTTCATCTTAATTCTAAAAATTTTAGAAGATTTTAGCTTCGTACATGATATTTCTGTCTTTTGGGAATAAAACTGTGAATCTAATTTTTTTTGAGATTTCACCTTTCTATATTGTTCTAACCATAACTTTCGGCACCGATTTTTGATTTAGTAAAAAATAAATTTATCCAAAAATAAACTCACAGCTCTTTCTTTTGACACTAAAATTGATAAATTTAGAGTCTAATTACCTATCCAAATTGTTATTTCAACTAACTCTATAAAATATGTAAAATAGAGACTATTGGTTCTGACCTTTCAGTACTCTCTTGGTTGTAACTTTCTGTTAAAAATTATGATTTATGTAAAAATAATTTATTAGAAATTAAACTCATACATATTTCTTGCATAGTTGATTTAAAAGATTTAGAGCATAAATGTCTATTGAAGCATCTGTTCTAATCAATTCTATGAATTCTACAAAACAAAGATAATGTTCTCTGACCTTTGGTTACTAAACTATTTATAACTCCTTGTTAAAGACTCCAATTTATAAAAAAAATTAATTTATCTAAAACTAGATTTATACATCTTACACTAAATTTGTGTAAATTGGAGCATAATTGGTTATCTAAATAATTTATGCAATATGCCTCTCAAATTCTATTAGAATCGAGATTTGGTCGATTTAATCTATTCTTGTTTCATCTATTTGGAAATTGATTTCTACTAAAATCTTTACTTCAGTTGAGCTTTACATTATTGCTTTGAAATCTTGTATACTCTTGTCCTTCAATTATTTATATACATGAATCTATTATATAAATTTTATATTTGTATCATAATGTTTTGTATAGGTTCATACATTTTGTTGTTTTGCATATGCTTCCGATATATACCAATTTTATATTTTATAATATCCTTTTTGTACTTTAGTGTTTGTGGGATAATGTAAACCTTTGCCAGAAATGGTAAAGAGAGTTATGCTTAGAGCCCGCGATGCTCTACCGGCCCCCTATAACTTCACTCAGACATGGGTGGATGGAGCTCTCAGATATGAGAGACTTATGTTTGGTGGTCATTCAAAAATGGATGGACCATATTATATTATGATCCTACTTCACCTTCTATTTGTTTGATATGATATCCAGAGCATTGGTTATATTCTTCTATGTGTGCTTTGGATAAGAATGAAATAAATGCAATCTCAAATACGATGCTTGAGCTTCTGTTTCGTATTTATTCTTTGATATATTCATAAATGTTTCTTATGCCCCTGAAATATTCATACGCCATCAATACACTTTGAAATATTCTATATGTCATTGATATGCTCTAGAACATTTTATATGTCATTGATATACTTTGAAATATTTTATTTATTATTAATATGCTCCAAAATATTTCATGCGTCATTGATATGCTTCGAAATGTTTCATATGCCAATGATATATTGTGAAACATTTTATATACTGTTAATATGCTTCAAAATATTTCATATGCTATTGATATACTCCGTAATATATCATATGCTATTGATATGCCCCGAAATGCTCCTTACGCCATTGATATGCTCCAATTATTCTTTACTCCCTTGTTATGAACAAAACATGTTTCGAATGAAATGACATTGTAATTTTACATTCACTGAGTAGCTATCTATAAACTCTTATATCTTTGCCTTGTATTTGGTACCTTATTTTTTTGAAACTATTCTCTTTCACCATGCATATGTTAGTTGCTTATTGAGCATTATATGCTCACTGCATTGCTATATAAATTTTTTAGGATAGCTTGTCCCTCGCTAAAATGTTTAAATTAGGCAGAGGAAGTGAAAAACTAGAAGATTTTGGGGCAAACCTTTAGTGGATGATATATTATAATTGTATAAGTACATTTGGTGTCTAATGAAATGTTGATGGTAAATTTGAATTTATGAGTTTTATAAAAGTTTAAAGGATCTCTCATGTTTAGGATTTTAGATATTAAGTTTAATTTGTGTAATAATATAAATATGTGGTAAGTATTGGTTTTTGTGATTGTATAGAATACTACACTTGCGGATTTATGAGGTGGTTATTGTCTTGGTGAGTTAGTTCATATTTTATGATTCATCGAGTGATGTGGTATATGATTTTAAACTACATACATGTTTTATGAATTGTGAATTATTGTTAAATTATAATATTATTGATTTTAAGATAAGTTAATATCTCTTGGGTGTGATAGAGGTGCTATCAAAGCATGATTTGAGGATCACTGAAATATTTGATATATTTGATGTGTAAAATATATTAAGGTCTAGTAAACTATAATGATTGATGAAAAATTACTTTGATGTGTTTTAAGAATCTATAATGTCAAGAACATTTAGTCCTCTTGCTTCATCTTCTATTGAGTAATTGAGTGAGATGAAAGTGCTGATCGGGGACATCAAATTAGAAAGGACAGGGAATGAGATAATTTAAAGAGCTTAGTCCTTCCAATTTTAGTGGTGAGCCTGATCCAATGGTAGCAGAATAATGGATGATACAGATAGAGAAAATATTTAACGTCTTAAATTGTCCTGATGATCAAAAGGTTTCTCTTGCCACCTTTATGTTGGAAGGAGAGGCTGAGCACTTATAGAGAACGATAAAAAAGATTTCTGAAGTCAAACATGAGCCAATCTCATGGAACGTATTCGTAGAAAAGTTTAACGATAAATATTTCCTAGATTGCATTAGAGAGTAGAAAGAATTTGAGTTCTTGAATCTTATCTAAGGAAACTTGACAATAGCATAGTTTGAATCTAAATTCACTAAACTCTTCATATTTGTCACTTATATAATCGATGATGAAACTAGAAAATCAAAGAAATTTGAAAGGGGCCTAAGGCTAGCAATAAGAATCTGGATATCAGCCTTAAAACTCTAAGCATATACTGATGTGGTAAAAAGGGATTTGATAATTGAAAGAGACTCGGAGGAAATTCAGGAAATCGAGGGTAAGAAAGATAAGGACAAGTTATCAGCAAAAGTAAGAGAGGGAATGAATCTGAAATAAGAAACAAAAAGGTAAAGACATCTAGATTTGAGAAAGAAAAG